ACTCAGTTGAAAAAACATCGTGGTGACCCAGTTGTTCAGTCTAAATATGCTCAGATTATTGGGAGTCTGATGCATTTGATGAGTTTTACACGGCCTGATATTGCATATGCTGTGTGTAGATTGAGTAGATATAACTCATAATCTCAATCATTAGCATTGTCTGCAATTGTTAGACTAATGAAATACTTGAGAGGAACCATGAACTATGGTATCCTATGTGGTGGATTTTCCACTGTATTAGAAGGGTACAGTGATGCTAACTGGATCTATAGACGAGACAAAATCCACTAGTGGCTATGTGTTTACCCTTGGAGGTGGTGCTATAGCCTGGAAATCATCGAGACAGACGATTTATGCAAAATCAACTATAGAATCAGAGTTTGTAGCTCTTGAGTTAGCTGGTTCCGAAGTTGATTGGCTAAGAAATCTCCTAGCGGGCATCCCTTTATATAAGGATACAATGTCTCCTGTCTCTATGCATTGTGATTGTGAAGCGGCAATTAATACTGCTAAAAAGAAATCTTATAATAGTAGAAATCGACACATGAAATTGAGACATGATGTCGTAAAACAACTGTTGAAGGATGGAATCATTTCTATTAATTATGTGAAGTCAGAAATGAATTTGGCCGATCCTCTGACGAAACCTTTGGGAAGAAAATTAATTCTTCAAACCTCAAATGAAATGGGACTTAGACCAACCGATTGTCAATAAAGATGGTAATCCAACCTATGTGATTGGAGATCCCATGAAGTATGTTCATATGGGTAATAACAAGTCAATATTGACACTGAAGCACTTTGAGTTAAAACTCTATTGTGATGGGTGCTTAAACTGCTACCTATTGTGAGGCTGAGTTAAACTCTTAATGAATTCATATATTTTACGAGTTGTGTATCTAAAGTACGCTTGATGAAATCACCTATATGAGAGTGGAGTGGGGCCGCTCCCATAAGATTTTATGGTCAGATCTTTAGAACTCTCATGAATAACCAGACGCGCGCATGGCCTATTGGTGCAAAACCGCGTGAACAGCAAAATATGAGTTTGCATCGTGGTTAAAAAATCCTCTGTCTTACAAATAGAATACTTGGTTCATAGAAATTTTAATTTCACCAAATATTCTGTAAGTACTGTTTTATTAATCTAAGTTTGGTTCATAGTCCAAAAGACACCAGACTAATTGTACTGCACCCAAACATATCCAGCAAATTTTTGTTTGTCTTTTTCTTCAAGTTTAAAAATCTTTTGAAATATGTGGGAAATTGTTGAATATTTCTAAAAGATTTTGGTTATTATTATTACTAAGTTAATTAGTAAATATATGGTAGATTTGATTTGGTCATTTTCACATTTTAGATAAAACCAAAAATACCAAATCAAATTGGAAGAATAAGTCTTGCAAGTTTGTTCCTAAAATCTGTCCACTAATATATTTAATCTCATCAAAAATAGAAGATTCGTTTCTGATTTTTTGGGAGCAGCAGCGGAGCATTTTGGCACCATAAATAGATGCCAAATTTGAGTGAAAAAAATGCACCAAAACAACTCCTCTCTTCTCTTCATTATTTGTTCTCTTTGGGTCAGTTCAAAGGCTCAAAGCCATTTCCTTCTTCACACGAAAGCTTGTTTTTAGCTTCTCGATTTTCTTTTGTTTTTTTTTAAATTTATTTTAAATAAAAAAAATCTTTGTTTTGTTTTTATTGCTGGATTAATATTTTAGCTGTTCTTATCCCCTCTATCATTTGGAGGAAGGTTTGTTTAATCTTGGGGAGACATTTCAATATCATTGGAATAGTTTTTTAAGGACAGTGTTTTTTAGCGCGTATTTATTATTTTTATTATTTTATTTATTAGCATTGGCCTACATTCTTTTTCTAACAATTATCTTTAGCTCTGTGGTAATGTAGTGTAGGTGCTGTGTAAAATGGGAACAATGGGAAGGAGAGATTTTAGCAATTTGTAAATATCTGTACAGAAGTGCCAGTTTTGAGAATTAATATATATTACCTTTTACCTAAAAAAATAATAATAATAAACAAAAGACTATGATTTACAAAAGATTATAGGAGGTTACACCTACAACTAACATATATATTATTATTATTATTTGGGTCATTCTAATTCAAAATCTCATAGTGTATAATTTACTACCCTCTCCCTTTGTAAACTAATCTATGTTATATTTTGTAAATTTTATATATATATATATATATATATATATACAATATCATTAACAGTATACAATTTGGATTATATGTGTGGGATAAAGGGAGTAATATTAATTTATGCATTTAAGTTTGGTATATAGTTTTTCAGAATTAAATTTTTTTTTTTGTTTCTGTAAAACACCATATACATTCTCTAAAATCTAGAAAAAAGAGATTTTTTCTTTTTTAATTTACAATTTGTCAAACTCAAAGATGGCTTATGTTTGGGGTAGAGGAAAGATAACATATCTCTTTATCAATAACATAGAAAATACATTGCAATTAAAAAAATAATGTAGAAAATATTTGATACTCTAAGTTACTTTTGTAAAACTCCATCTCCCTTGATTATCTTCCCACGAAGAAAAGAAAACAAAGTTATCACTTTAATAATATTCTAAAATCATGTTATTTTTATATTATCTTTCATGTAATAATTATTTCCGAACAAAAAGAGTATTACTCCCTGCATATTAACACAATTGTCCAGTTTGAATTTTTATTTTTTAATTTAAATTATACCAAGACAAAAAATTCGAATATGACAGTCATTTTGGCACAGTTAAAGTAATGGTTTTCAAATTTTGATATCGTTTTACTAGGTTAAACAGAGATAAATGGGGACGGATTAAAAAAAAATTGGTGACAGTATATGTGTGTCAACAAGTTAAAACGGTATGGGTGTGTCACACTTGACGTTGAAGGAATAAAATAAGACGACGTGCATTAAAACTTGTACATTCCACAACACTCAACAGTAGTACTCTTTGCATCAACAGTTGTAGCTTAAAGCAGAAACAAAGCCGGTGTACATCCACCGAGGCCACAGGTGATCAAAACCTCTATGAAGGCAATAAGCAATCAACTAATAATGTAATCGATCAAGAGATTGAAGAAGACTTTCTCAAAAGAATGAAGAAAGTGATGAGTCTTCTGCAAGAGGAAGTACTCATTCATATAGCTCTGATATGAATGTACTTCCTTTCAGAGAAAAACCCTAAATTATAACGGGTGATAAAACTGGACTTATTTTTTATTTCTGTTTTTTTTTTGGCTTAATCCGATACAGTAGTCTTAGGTCTTTTATTTATAGACTGTTTACCACACATGTGATAATTGATAAACTAGTCTATAATTACCTAAGATCCTAACTATTAAATTTTTTACAGAAGGAAAGAATTATTTTGTAGAGGATTGAGATACCCGGAACTAATTGCCACCATCCATTCCTTTTTGAGTGTGATCATCCTTATCACTCCATGATTGATCATCCTTATCACTTCACATACTCAATGAATCAGAGATCATTTGAGGGTTATCTTCAACACTTTCTTATGTATCATTTCCTTTACCTAACCATAGAGGAAGAGCTTTGCATTGCAACAACAAAAAACACGAGCTACTCAGGACATTGCTCAGAACAAAGCAGCCCAATGCTGTCTGATTTCCTGAAAGGCCGCTCCATCGATATCACGAAATCATAGATGCTTCTGCCTCTAATTCTCTGTTATTAGTGATTGCAATTCCAAAATAGGAGGCTCCCAAGTCCCAACTATACAGGAAACGAATGAGATTCCAGCATTTGCTAGCTATCCAGACATCAAATTAGCTAGTATGAATCAAACCAAAACCAGGCAAAGTATCAGAACCCGAATAAAACCAAGTTAAATAAACATTACTTACGATTTTAATGTCTAAACAACTTCCACATCCACGACATTCATCTTACATACTAAACAATCTCATAAAATAAAAAAACCACCCCATTAGGAAAAATTAATCCTACAATACTTAATTACATCCATTTTTTTCTTCAACTCCGGTAAAGACACTCCTGATCAGAAGCAGAGAAGTACTTCCTGTCAAGCTAGCTAGTCTTAGTAGCTAACTAAAATATACAGTCTCAAAACGAGACTAATCAACATCTCAGCAGCAGACACGCGTAAAAGATTCCCAGCTGCTTCAATCTGCATCCACTGATTTCCCTCAAAACGTGCCCAAATGACAAGAGCCATCGAAGAGGCTGAGAAGCCGGCTGCTAACGCGTTTGCATAGACAAAGAGTCGGAAAGGCATCTTGTCTTCTAGTCTTGGTTTTCCAAAAGCGTAAGGAAGCTCCAAGCACACTGCAAAAGCTACCAAGCCTACACGGTAACAAATGATGCCAATAGTAAACGGGTGATTATTACTTCCAGAAATGGGTAAATCAGAAGGAGCACGAGATTAATGAGAACTTGACCCCTTTTTGTAATTTTCTTTTTCCCCTTCCAAGCTCGATTGTTTTGAGAAGAAGATGAAATGCTCTGGAGAGGGCACATTTTTATTCTATTGAATCTGAAAGGTGAAGAGCTCCAACGTTTTCCAGAAATGGGTAGGTTGCGTACATTTGCTTGAGTTTCCGAAAATGAGCTAATTTTTACTCCTTTTTAAGTCTGGATAGTGATGATCTCTCTTTTAATTGTGGTCAAACCACTAATTTTTACTAATGTTTGATAAGACCTTACGAGAGTGATAACTTGTTAATAATGTCTAAAAATTACATCCTCTGTGTTCATTTTGTAATCTCCAATTTCCCAAAGCCAAGGCTCTTTTTCCAAATAAATTAAATTTAATATTTTCATAAAACTAAATATATTGTTTATAAATCATAATTGAATCATGTAATTCTGATTTGTTACATTACACATTTAGCGTGTGACACTCCCGCGCTGTGACGTTTTTACGTTAGACATATATAAATAGTACGCTCTGCATAAAAACTTGTACATTCTATAACACTCCACAGTTGTACCCTGTGCATCAACGGTTGTACCTTTGAAGCAGAAACAGAGCCGGTGTACATCCCACCCAAGCCACAGGTGATCATTACCCACCCAGAAATGAAAGTTGCATTTTAGGGTTTTGCCAGGGTGACTATATTATATATATGAAAGCAGGAGTCCGGAGCCGCAGCCGATAGAGATAATACGCAAAATTGATCAGAGTTTCTTTTTTTTTTTTTTTAATTTTCTGGAAAATTAAGAAAGAACTGAGAAATGGCGCTAAGGCATTTTGAGAGGATGTCGTTTGATTTTATCCACGAGAATCCCGATCTTGAAGACGAACTTGAGCAATGGGGCAAGATGCCGGAGCCCAGTACGGAGGATCATCTGTTTATGTTGCGGGTGACGACGTACGATCGAGTTGCTGAGAGGTTGAAGAAAGCTGCTTTGGAGCTGAAGAAAAGTATTGTGGCTGAGACTTGGGGTTCTTCTGGTCAAAATGTTGCTGATTTCAGTCTTTATTCTGGAGCTCTTGGCACTGCCTTCTTGCTTTGGAAGTCATTTCAAGTCACCAACGATGCAGAGGACCTCTGTCTCTGCTCTGAGATCGTCCGGGCTTGTGACTCTGCCTCTCTTGGTTCCAGGTTTATCTCATTCTTGCCTTTAGTTTTTGGTTTGAACTTGTATTGTGTATATCGAAGTTTCTTTACATATTCTTTACATATTCCTTTAGGGTTTTAGTTTGTGAGGTCTGTTTTATGCTACTAGAATTGTTTGGGAACAGAGAATTAGTGTTAAAAGTGCGGCCTTTTCTTGCAGTTCTCGTATTATAGCTCGCGTGGTGTATGTTAAAAGTTTTTTTTACATCCTCGTTGCGGGTTTTTGTTTGAGAGTTTTGATTTTCCACTGGATGGGATAGGAGAATGTAGCGGAGAAATTGCTCCCCTGCTCTTTTATTTCACATTTTTAATTAAAGGGAGAATGTAGCGGAGTAATTTGTGTGTGGAATCTTACTGGTTGAGCTAGAAACACAGGAACCAGCTGTACGATTTTCCCTTGAGTGGAATTCCATATAGTGATCGATCCCCCCTGGTCATTCTTGCATTTTTCTTTTGAATTTGTTACACCTAAATGTAGACTTTTCTGACACATGCTTGTTTTTGTTAACAAGGGATGTTTCATTCATTTGTGGGAGAGCCGGGGTGTGTGCCCTTGGTTCTGTTGTGGCGAAATCGATGGGAGACAATGACCTGATGGATTGCTATGTAATCAAGTTGAAAGAGGTTAGTCTCCTGCATGGATACTCCTCTACCTTGTATTTTAGTCCATTGTGTTTTTGGTAATTTAGATATTTGAATATGGGAGGCGATTCTGCCAACACAAATTTAGCATCCAGGATAAAATTTAGATGAAAAGACATAATTACCCATAATAAAAGCATTTTTCATCTTCTTCACCTCCGCAGTGTTGCTCCTCAAAACCCACACCGTTTAGCCACCGTTGTCGCAAAAAAAAAGAAAGCAAAATTTTTGAAAAATTGTCTTATTTATGAGGTATGGTATTCCTATTCCCCGTTCCAATACGCAATCACCCCCCTTTAAAAATGGTGGTATGTGATGCATCTTTCACCGTCTTGGCCCCTCCTAAAACCAAAGGCTCCTCAGTCCTTTCTGCCAAAAGCCCATTAAATTCTCTAAACAAATCAGCTTGAATCTATTAACGTGAAAATTGAGCTTAATCTGTTGTTCCTGGCCAATCTTATAGGAAACCCATCCAAACTTATGTTCCTTGCTGAACAGAGAGACAAAGAAAGTCCGTCAAAATGCTGCACTTATTCAAGGCCTGTTAAGAACACGTGGCTCAATGTTCCAGATTATTTGTTTGTATATATAGCATGGGGCTTGGAAATTGGAATTTGGTGATTCTTTATTCATTAAAAACAATTTTTTCTATTTTTTCATGGCCAAATTTATTGGTTTCAACTGGATTGAAACATGTAACACTGAGAGAGAAAAATAAACGACAAAAGTTTTCTGTATTTTCTTGGAATGGGGAATAGGAACACCAGACCTCAGAAATAAGATAATTTTCAAAAATATTGCTTTCTTTTTTCTTTGTTGCGACTGTGGGTTTTGAGAACAACTCTGCGGAGGTGTAGAAGATGAAAAATGCTTTTATTATGGGTAATTATGTTCTATCACTCAAATTTTGTCCTGGATGCTAGATTTTGTTTTGGCAGAATCGCCTCTCTTTGAATATTATGTACGCATTGGCTTTTGTGAACGGATGGAACTGCCAGAGGATCTGTCTGATGGACTTTTGCACGGTAGAGCTGGTTACTTGTGGGCATGTCTATTCATCAACACATATTTAGGCACAGAAACCATTTCGCCTGTTCAATTGGTAACGGTGAAAGTTTCTTGATCAAGCTTGGTGAGTTGAGTCATTAATATTATTCATTGAATGGCCAGGCACCTGTTATTGACAAAATCTTCAGCAATGGCCGAAAGTTGGGAAGAAAAGGTGGAAGTCCATTAATGTTCCAGTGGAACGGCAAGAATCACTGGGGTGCTGCTCATGGATTGGCTGGTATCATGCATGTCTTGATGCACTTCAATCTGCAGGAAAATCAGCAAAAGGAGGTCAAGGAAACACTTCTTTACATGATAAAGAAGCGCCTTCCCAGTGGAACCTACCCTCTATGTGAAGAAGAGAAGGGTGACTTGCTTGTGCATTGGTGTCATGGAGCCCCTGGAGTTGCACTCACTCTTGTCAAGGCCGCTGAGGTAACACTTGACATAATTGAAACAGTACTCCAGTAGAGGATGACAATCGTGGCAACACTGGCCATTAATTTCCACAAGATTTTTTTTCCCACTCAAATACAATTATGCCCTTTGATATCTCTTTTGCATATTTTCATGACTGCTGCATGTGTGCATACACAACTGACTGAACACATTCAGTGCCGTCTTCTGGAATTACGTATGCACTTCTATTCCAGGTCAATAAGTAGTTATATGGCATATTTTCATGAGCGTTCTTTTTTGAATACATAACTAAGATTTTTCTTCTGCTCATTGAATATTCAATGCAGTCTTCTGGAAATATGAATGTATGATCGTCTTTTTATTGTCGGATATACATGTGTAGTTATATGCCGTTTTCCCTGCAGCTATCGATCTTCATTGAGTTCTCTACATTTGGACTTGAATATCTATTCAACCTTTAATGGCATTCCTTCTAGTTCTATCTCATAAGTCCACAGTATTATCGTTAGGAATAAAACTTGGCTGTCCTGTTCGCGCCATAATTGTGCCATATCTTTTATTCTGGAAGTTCAAAGTGTGGACTATCATCTTTTTAATTCTATACGTATTGCTGGTTCCTGAACCTTGGTAATCTTGTATCCTCAGTTTTTTGGTGATAAAGTTTTTGCAAAAGCGGCTGTTGATGCAGGGAAGGTGGTGTGGGAGCGTGGACTGCTCGAGCATGTAGGGATCTGTCATGGCATAAGTGGAAATGCCTATGTCTTTCATGCTCTCTATCGGCTCACTGGGAGTCCTGAGTTTCGGTTCAAGGCCAAATCATTTGCATGCTTTTTGCTCGACAGAGGTCAGAAGCTGTTGGCAGAAGGGGAGGTGCGAGGAGGAGATCATCCCTTCTCACTCTTTGAAGGAATTGGAGGCATGGCGTATCTTTTCCTTGACATGGTCCAACCAGCTACTGCTAAAATTCCAGCTTATGAAGTGTAACGCTCTGGATGAGTGCTTCATAGAAAATAAACTTTATGTCCTATGGATATTTTGGAAGTCATCAAGACTTTCTTTAGTTTCTGATGACTGTAGGCTGATGACTATAGTCTTCAACCCTTGATTTACTTGGTTAAGATGTAATGCTAATCGCATCTTCAGGTTGACTTTTGTTTAGATCTCGTGCTGATCTGGTGGCTTGCTTCCCTGATACAGTTAACTCCGTATGGTAGACATCAGTTTGTGTTTACATTTTGTGCAGTTGCTGAAGAATGAGAATGATGTTGATTGTGATTCTTTGTGCATTGTGTTTGCTGTTTCGGTTACGATGGGAGGCGGTGGTTGTTTTTCGCCGTTTGAATGCATGACCTTGCTTCTTGTGCTTTTATTCCCCTTCCAAGTCTGCACTGGTTTTTCTTCAGTGCCAGTTCAAGTTTGCGAGCTATTTGAACTAGATATTTTCTATAAAGCCTATACTTCCATTGCACACTTGAGGAACTTTGAGGATGCTTTTAACAAAATAGGAAATGATGTACCAAAAATAAGATAAAATTCATAAAATCAGAATTCTAGTATCAAATTTTAAATCTCATGGACTTGGTTTAATTCTAGGAGACTATTATACCGGGTTAAATTAGCTCTCAAGATTAAATCTGCGTCTTGATACTCTCCCTCTTAGGGAGGGATCCAGAGGAGCAGCAGCCACAGAATGAAACTTGCCATGTTTGCTTTTCAGACAATGAATCGACAATCATCTTCCTTGAATCCAACCAGATGGGTTTTAATCTACTGAAGAAAATACCAAGAGATAAGAAGCAATTGCAGTTTTTGATGTCTAATTTACCTTGTAGCTTTAGCAAATTCATCTCACCTAATAATAAACAATCTCATCAAACGCAAGAGTTCAAGAAAATGAATCCGCGCAAGAATAGTTCTGTAGCTTCCCTGTCCACTAGATTCATCCTTCTTTCTGCTACTTTCTTCCTATCATTCCGGCTATCTTCCTCAAATTCGTGATAACCTTTGATCCCTTATTCTTCCCACAACAATTGCATTTTTCCTTCCAAGCACAACTAGTGGTCTCTTCAGAGTCATTAATTTAATGTATGATGCTGTTCCGCTCTGATCATGCATCTTATTATCGGTCTAGGGATCAAAAGTAACACAATATTGTTCTTCTTAAACCCCGCAGCTTCTTGCCATTTTTTAACTCGGTCGATAGTACACAACCTAGTCCGTGACTCGGGATCGGAACTCCATATTGTTTCATCAACCAAACGGAATAACCATTCATCTGATATTGAATTACAGAAAGTTGACATAAACTCTATACATTTAAACTTGAAGGATTCACAAGAGACAAATCATTAGTTAGCTTGATTCAATTGGATGATTCATTCTCCATATCAAACTGAATGAACCATCACCAGTAAGTCAGTAACCCTACGAGGACAGTAAGAAATCCAATGCCAAGCTCCATTCGGAGATGCATGCGGTCGTCGGTCAAGAAGACTTAAAATATGACTATGAATCTCAACATTCACAAGCCTCCTCCAAAACTTTGGTTTCAAAGGGAAATAAAACTCGGTGTTTGTCAGCCTAGTAAGTACTTTCTCCTATATATTCTGTAATTAGTAGAATATACCCTGTACAGATTAGTTGAAATGTATATACACATTGTAAGATACTGATGACAATCAGACTGATTCCCTTAGAGAGAACTTTTACAGAAGATTCAAGTTCTTTCTCCCTTTTATTTTTTGTCCGGTTCTTTCTTTCAATAGATTTTTCTTTTTTACCAAGATTTCTATTTTCTTCGTATGATTGGAACCGATTAAGTTGAAACATCGGCGCTCCCCGCTCAAGATTCAATTTTTATGATGGCAAAGTCATAATATAGAGGGGAACTGATTTTTCTGGAATCCTGATTCTCCCTCAAGAGGATTATAAGTTCTTATTACTGGATTTCAGTGAAGGAGCTGCTCATTGAGGTTTCGCCAACCACAGAGTCAAACCTCCCCTGTTAGCTTTTTAGACAGCGAATCAGTAGTAAGCAAAAGCCTTCTATGAGTTCATTGAAGAAAAACCTACTGAGTTACGAAGCAATTACTTAAAGAAAACGAATCCAACAGTAACGCTACGACTAAGCCGGAAGCAGCTTTTCAACATTTAAGGCTTCAAGCATTTCAACCTGAATAACACTACAATCGCATCAAATCCAGAATTTCTCAAACCATTTTTTCTCCAGAAGATAAATCAGTTAAAAAAGCAACTACAGTTAGTGTCTAAATATGGAGTTGCTTTAGAACATTCAGCACATCTAAGAGTAAACAACCTCATGAATAAGTCTCAGAAAATGAACCCTTCGCTAATTACTCCTTCAGTCCTTCTTAAGCTTTCACATCTGATAATCACCACAATGTACAGGAAATCTAGCAGTTGAACCAATCAAACCACAAACGAACTATTATATCTACTGGTAGATAGATACAACACTGCTTTAATCCGCCACTCCTTTCTGTCAAAACATACCAAAATGAGAAGAGCCACAGTAGAGGCTACCATCACAAGGGCATAGACTTTGTGAGGCATCTTGTGTTGCAGACTCAACCCCTCAATTCGATCATAAGACTACCAAGCATGTCAGCCAGCGGGTTTTTCTGCCAACCCAATCCGGTCATCTCTCTCAACCTCAAGGTCATCACTATCTCGCTCAACAACACCTGCATTTTGCCCTCCAAGCAAGACTAGTGTCAAGCACCGGACAAAAAATAGATACGAAAACCAGTGCCAAGCACCATTCAAAGGTGCATGTGTCGACGCATGAGGAGAAACGAAAGCATCAATCTCAAAATTTACAAGCCTCCTCCAAAATCCCGTACTAACTATAGACTTCCACCTCAGGGGGTAAAGTTAAGCAAAAGCCTTCTCCATCATACCCTTCACAGTACACAACCCTCACCACCTTATAATCACCGTGAGAATCAGCACCAAACCCTGATGCAGTTGAAAAATTAGGTGGAGGATTTGTTGGTGGTGGTAATTTTACATATTTCCGAACACTAGGGTTCCACAAATAGTTCTCTTCCCGATTGCTACGATCAGATATGTAAACTAACCCATCGCAAATACCGACCATTCGAAAAATCTCATCCTCTGATTTCACAGGGAAATAAATCCTGCCGAAATAAATAAGATTCCGGCGACCATGCACACCACCCTCCTCTCCACCATCCGAATACAGGACATAATGCTCTTTAAGGCTAAACAGATTTGATTGTCTGACGAGGGAAAGTGAGGAACTATTTGGGGTTTTTCCCAGACGGACATTGTTGAGATGGGTAGCAATAAAATCAGGGCTGTTAATCAACGAGTACCAAGTTTTGGAAACCAAAAGAAATCTTACCAGGGATTTGGCAGGAACCCTTGACAGAATCTCAATCACTACTTCCTCAGGGAAATAATCCGACATTGATCGACAATCTTCTGGGAAGAAAAAAGGTTTGGGTAATCAAACAGAGAGCATAGATTGTATCGGCTTTCACCCAAAAGAAATACTAAGAGAGAAGAAATTGAAGCGGCTGCTAGAAAGATTATGACAAGGCATTTTACACCCAAAACTGGAAAGAGGGAGAAAAGAGGTGAGAAGAGGAATTAGCAGAAAGAAGAAAGAAATGGAAGAGTTGAGAAAAGCAGAGAGTACCATATAGAGAAAGCGGATGCTAATCAGAAAACTTGGCAAAATCTCCGTCTTCGTTCTATAATTCTAACAATAATTACCTAAAGATTAATTACTGTTTAGTCTCAAGAAATAACTCTCAGATAATTTTAAAGAGAGGATCTCTCGAAACTTCCTGGAAATTTCCTTACGTTGCATACAGGGCATTTTGACCAACGGAACGGAATTCATCAGCAAAGGCCTCGCAATGCTGTAACGAAAGGTGTTGTGGAGTGACACTACCGAGCCCACAAAACCCCAAAACCCTTAAAAGCCCAACAACAAACCGCACTAACAAAATGATCAAATATTCAAATCAAATGTCAATGACCAGAAGGTCCAGAACGAAATGAACCCGCCGAAAAGCAGAAGACCCAGTCTCAGCTCCACAATTCCCGCCAATCGGACGCCACCACGAAGGAATCCAAAACCTCATAATTGAACCGTTTTTTTTTTTTTATGTTTTAAATCGGCATTCGACAGGTTTAAACTTGCTGGTAGTTTTTCCATCTCCAACTTTCACAATTCGCCTTTTGCATTTATCGAAGTTCTTAAAAGTTTCCGACGTTCTTATTCATAAGTTATAGTGAAAGTATTTTAGTTGACGCGGACAAGAATAATAAATTTCGAGAAGTATGTTCACATTAATGGTAATTACCGGTGTTCTCTGATGAATCTATCAAACTGGTTTTCGCATTCTGATGCTATATTTTCTACCTATTGTATGTATTCTGAGTGAGCAAGATACCGCTGATTATGCAGTGGAGATGTTAGATTGAATTTGGGGAGATGTTATATTTTCTACCAAAGTTGTCCAAATGTCACCTCCTTTCAAGTTTTGTTTTTTATCCCCACTCCAAAGCTAACACTCAGTTTTTTGGTAGCAATTATTTTTCATCACGCCCAAACACGCTTTAGCTCCACAACATTTTCATCCCTTCTGCGTTAAACATTCTCGTATCCATCCATACATTAATTTTTTTTTTTGAAATAAGAAATTCATTAATTACTGACGCTGGAAATCGTCCAGTCATGATTAAAGTACATCTCGTATCCATCCATACACTAACAATACTAATCTGGAAGCAATTCCAAATCCTCTATTCAGTTGGTTAAGTAATTGGATTGGATTTGGCATTTGTTTATATATATATATATATATATATTATAAAATTTAATTTATTTTAAAATTATTTCAATTTTGTAATTTATATTGCGTTAAAAAAATTGTCACTTTTAGAGTAATGTAGAATGAATAGTATTGTTGACAAACAACGTGAGAATATTATGTCAGATAATCAATTTTATTTAATTAAAATATACTTTGCGGCTCAAAATTATCGAAAATGAATTGTGTATCATTTTTTTGGATACAAAGAGGAAACTCTTTAAATTATTATTTTATTAATTTATGAATTATTTAAATATTCACTAAAATGAACAATTTTGGTGGTTCCAATACTATTACTTTGTTGCAAATTTACTGTATTTAGTACTACTTCAGTTCAAAAAAAAAAAAAAACAATGATATTATGGATCCTTGTAAAACACAATTTTAAATTAGAGATTAAGAGTGACACTGTGCTCAATATTCTCAAAGGTTGAAAACATGTACCTTTCTCAAGCAAAAAAAAGAAAAGAAAAAAAAAAGAAAACATAATTTTTCGCAGATTATGCAGTATCACAAACTAAATTTAAATTCGTCTCAAATAAACTTCTTGGTTATTGAAAGCTAAATTTAAGTTTACAAAATGATTATAAAGCTCAAAAGAAAATATCATAACATATGTGTAGAAAGGTAAAATTGCAAGACAAGAGTGATTTTTTCTTTTGAAATGAAAGTAATACGTACTCTTTCTGTCCCAAAACTATTGTCCAGTTTGAGATTTCACTTTTAGTACAATTTGAATTAAAAATGAAAACCCAAACTGGACAATAATTATGAGACAGAGGGAGTACTAATTATTGGATCCATAGCAAACTTATTAGACGAGATGTAGGATTTTACTCGAAAATATGAAAACACTCAGATCAATAAGGAATGAAAATAAAAGAACATCTACCACGACAAAAACAAAAGGACACTAATCTGCTTCACGTTTTAGGTTTAATTGCTCGTTTAAACAAAGTTATTTGTTATATGTATGTTAGGACAAACTGTGTAATGAAGTTTAGCCTGAATTTTAATAGTTTAGTCAAGTCGACAAAAAAATACTTCAAAAATGGAATTGCTTACACTTTTAATAGTTAAGGATTCAAAAGGAATTGCAATTTTTTTTAAGCTTTATGTTTTTTTTTAATACTCCATCTTCTTAATCGATCAAAAAGATCCTCCAAAAATTGAAAATAGATAGATGCACATGAATTCAACCAAAAAAGTGCCGTATCCCGTACAAATAGTCCTTGAATTTTTTTTATCCAACATCTAATAAAATTAACTAATCACTTTTAAATCCAAAATTCGAATATGAGGGGGAGTTCATTGTGTAAGTTAAATTTTGTAGGAGAACTGGTTTATTTCCCTCAATTTTAGTGTCTCTATTTTCTCCCTTAAAAATCACTTATCTAAAAATAGTGTAATTCGAATTTTTTTTCCATTTTCCGTTCTTCATTATTTTTGAAAAATGATGTTTATTAGAGCTTATCTTTGTTCAGATTATGACAAGGAAAGATTAAACTATTATTAATTTTTTTTTGTGTCCATTTTGTATTTTTTGATAATGTTAATTACACGTAATAAACAAGGGATGGTCATTGGTCTATGGCTCTATGCCAAAGCGCCAAAACGGCAAAAAGCGAAAGCCCTCCCGCGCAAAGAAATGATGTACATTATGCATTAAGACTTGTACATTCCACAACACTCTACAGTTGTACCCTGTGCATCAACGGTTGTACCTTTGGAGCAGAAACAGAGCCGGTGCACATTACCCGAAGCCACATGTGATCAAAACCCACCCCAAAATGTAAGTTGCTTTAACTCCATACCAAGATTAGGTTTTGTTAGGACTTAGGAGTATAAAGAGACCAGAAAGACCCAAATTTGAGAATTTTCGGAAAAAATCAAGGAAGAAGAGGGTAAATGGAGCTAAGGCATTTTGAGAAGATGCCGAGGGATTTTCTATGAAGAAGAGCTCGAGCAAAAGGAGGATGTTCCGGAACCGGGCACGGACGATCATCTGTTTATGTTGCGGTTGAAGAGCTATGATCGAGTTGCTGAGAGGTTGAAGCACGTAGCTTTAGAGCTGAAGAACCTTGTTGTTGCTGAGACGTGGGATTCGCTTCAAGGCCAAGATGTTGGTGATTTTACAGTCTATTCTGGAGTTCTTGGGACTGCCCTTTTGCTACATAAGTCATATCAAGTCACCAAGAGCAGGGATGCCTCCGTCTCTGTTCTGAGATTGTTAAGGCTTGTGACTGTGCTTCTCTTGGTTCCAGGTATTTCAGTTTTTCTTTCTTCCCTATTGTTTTTCTTTTACTTGTTTTTAGTGTATGTCTATTGAAGTTTTATTCCGTGTCCTTTGAGGGTGTTGATGCGTGAACTCTGTTACACTACTGGATTTGTGTGTTGGAACAGAGGATTTTGTGGGAAAGGTGCTGCCTTTTTATTGTATTTCTCATTTTGCTACTCTTGTGTTGGTTGATGGTTTCTGTTTGTGAGTTCTGCTTTACTGCTGGAGTTATTTGGGAAACTTTGCGCCTATGTCTTGTATTTCTCATTTTTAAGGCAAAGGAAGTAGGGATAAATGCACTACTTTTTACTGTGAAAGTTTATGAATGGAATCCCATTGCTTGAACTAGAAAAACTAGAAACATATACAATTTCACTGAGTGAAATAACGTATAGTGCTCAATCTCACTGGCCATTCTTGCCTTTTTTTAAAAAAAATTTGTTACAATCTAAGTAGATTCGTCTGACACATGGTTATTGTTGTTTTACAAGTGCCGTCTCGTTCATTTGTGGGAGAGCTGGTGTTTGTGCCCTTGGTGCTGTCGTAGCGAGCTTACTGAATGACATTGAGCTGATGGATTCCTATCTAGACAAATTCGTACAGGTTAGTAGCGTGGATTGTCCTTTAGGTTATATTTCAGAGTCTGATTTCTCAAGCAGTTCTGATATTCAAATATTATGTATGAATTGGCTTTTGTAAGCAGATTGAACCTCCAGAGGATCTCTGTGATGGACTATTGCATGGTAGAGCTGGTTACTTGTGGGCATGTGTCTTCATGGATGCCCATTTTTGCAGAGAAACTATTTCACGCAAAATATTGGTAAGCGTAGAATATTTTCTGTCATGCTTGGTGAGTTTATTTACTAAAGCAACAAATGGGCAGGCGCCTGTTGTTGACAAAATCTTCAGCAATGGCCGGAAACTGGGGAGGAAGGGACGTAGTCCATTAATCTTTAAGTGGAAAAACAAGACGTATTGGGGTGCTGCTCATGGATCGGCTGGAATCATGTACGTCTTGATGCACTTCAATCTGCAGAAAGATCAGCGTAAAGAGGTTAAGGAAACACTTCTTTACTTGATAGAAAATCAATTTCCCAGTGGAAACTACCCGTCATGTGAAGATGACAGTGATGCGCTTGTGCATTGGTGTCATGGAGCACCTGGAATTGCAGTTACGCTGGCCAAGGCTGCTGAGGTAACACTAAACATGATAGAGACACTACTTTGGTAGAGGATAAGAATTGTGGCAGCTCTGGCTTTATAATAGCAGATTTTGATTCCATTCAACTAGTTTTGCCCTTTGATGTCCTTTTCTTTTATCATGTTCGGTACTTGTGCACATACACAACTAAGAAGTTTATTCTCATTCAACAGTCAATGCAATCTTCTGGGGATATGACTAGTTTTTTACTGCAGGCTTTACATGTGTGGTTTTATGGTTCATGATCTGATACCTTGTGCGCATACATAACTCAAGATTTTCTTCTGCTAATTAAACAGAATTTGCAGTCTTCTGGGAATATGATAGTTTTTACTGCTGGCTTTACATGTGCGGTTAGGTGCCCTAGTGTTACCCCTTGCAGCTATTGATCTTCATTGTCTTCTCTACATTCTGACTTGAATCTTTGCTGAACTGTTCATGTCATTCCTTCTTGTTGCATCTCACTAGTCACAGTGCTATCCTCACACATAGGTTGACAGTCTCATTCTAGGATTGCTAATATTCTACTGCATGCTGTATCACAGATAACCCAAATTTAGTGCCTTTGTTTTTCCTTTAACTGGTGTGTGTGTGCGCGTGTATGTGTATAATTTTTATTCTGTCATAGCTAGCTCCTGAACCTTGGTAACTTTGCATCCTCAGACTTTTGGGGACAAAGTGTTTGAGAAAGCTGCTATGGATGCTATGAAGGTTGTGTGGCAACGTGGACTTGTCAAGAATGTTGGAATGTGTCATGGCATCAGTGGAAACACATATGTCTTCTGTGCTCTCCAACGGCTCACTGGATGTCCCAGGATTCGCTTTATGGCAAAGTCGTTTACATGCTTTTTGCTTGACAGAGGTCAGAAGCTAGTGTCTGAAGGGAAGGTGCGCGGGGGAGATCATCCTTACTCACTGTTTGAAGGACTAGGGGGATTGGCTTATCTTTTCCTCGACATGATGGAACCATCTAATGCTAGGTTTCCAGCTTTTGAAGCCATATAAAACCTTTTGCTGAATGGTTCATGGAGAATCTTAACTCTAGTTCATATGGATATTTTGGTAGTCAAACTTTCGAGTTTTTGAACACAGTAGAATCTTGACTCTTCTTCATCTTAGCTTAGTTAAGATGTGTTGCTGGAGCGTTACTGAAATTTGATCGGTTGCTGATATGGAGGACGTGCTTTCCTGATACAGCTGACTCAAAAAAAGTAGCCAGCATTATGTGCTTTTTACACCTTTTCTGCAGTGTTCTTGGTCTGGCTAGCAACTGTGGTTTTGGCTATTTGGTTGTTCTGAGAGGTAGTCAATAGTCATGGCTGGTTTGTTTTGACAACGATAATATCCTGGGCAGTGTTTCTTCTGCTTCTTATCCCTTTAGACTCAACTGCAAATCACTTAAATTGTGGAGTTCCAGAGCATGATATATGCTGTTTTCTTCTGAGAACTAAGAATTTGAGGAGGCTTTTACCAAAACAGACAAAAAGATGAACATAAAATAAGGTATACTGTATTTTGATAAATTTAGAACATTACTGGTGTGATCTAACTTTCAGTATGGTTCCATATGTTATACAGTCCTAAATTAGTTCCAATTCATGGAACAAAATGGACACTTTGATGTGATTGTTAGCCCATACAATCGAGCTCAAGTAAATTGTTTTTGTCTTTTTCATTGCAACATTTTCTAGTGAATCGAGAGTGTTTTAATCAATTAGTAGTAATTTACGACTCATAAAATTATATTCTCACTATAACACGTCGTAGCCAAGACTAATTTGTGGCACAATAATATCATAGGTGAATTTATGTTCTCATACATAACAACATTAATGCCACTTGACATTGTCCTCAAGGCATATACAAGTTACGCTTTTTTTTTTTTTCCCCAAAATATTGCTGTTCGGCCTTTCTTGTGAAAATAAAAGATGATAATTTTGGGACAAATGAAATAGTTAGTGTATTTTCTGTATTGATCCATAACCATTATCATTAAATTCTATAGAGAAGGAGAAAGGACTATGATATTCATATATTGGAAGTTGATAAATTCCTCATATGACACCAGTCCTATGAATATTGACTCCACTACTACGTGGCAGACCCACAAAATACTTCCTTTTGATTAGACTCCCAAAATTAGCGTACTCAAACTCCAACAAATCTGATACGAACAAACCAACTACATCATATAGCAGGTTCGGTTCCTGAAACGGCAAGCAAATATTGAAGGAGAATTGAAGAAAGTGAATGGGAGAAATGACAGACCGATATTTTCCCAATCAAATGCCGGATTTTGTTGAAGAAGATCCCACATTGCAACAAGAATGTCAACAAGCTGATAAGATTCCGGAACCTGGAACAGAGGAAGCCCTGCTAAGGCTCCTTGCAACACCTTATGCGGCAATCCATGAGAGTCTCAAGAGGGCAGCTTTGGACCTCAAGGAAACTATTGTTGTGGAAACTTGGGGACTAACTGGGCAAAAAGTCCACGATTTTACTCTCTATTCCGGTGTTCTTGGGACTGCCTTTCTGCTCTTTAAGTCGTATCAAGTTACCCATAATGCAAATGACCTCAGCCTTTGCTCTCATATTGTTAAGGCCTGTGATTTTGCCTCTTTTTATTCCAGGTAAGTGGGTTTATCCTAATTTCTTTGGGTTTGTATTTGCCGTATGCACTCTCTTTCTGGGTTATTGGTTTATGGGAGGTGTTTGAATCGATTGATATTAACAAGGAAAGATGAGTAGGAAAGCTTATAGGAGTCAATAAACTACCTTCAGCTCAAAATTGTCTTCCAAATTTATCTAATTGGTTTTGTGATATGATGTGAAAATCCCTGGTCATAGTGTTTTGACTCCAGAATTCTCCTAACAATCTAATTTGGTTGGGAAATCCCACTTAATTAGTTTCCTGTATTGGAGGTGTATTATTGCACTTGTAAAACATGGATTTATTTATTTAGTGGTTTGCTGACAATTGGAAAGTAAGGTTGCAAATATAGCTGAATTTTGTGTTTCTATGTCGCATGGCTGCTAGGGATGTGACATTTATATGTGGAAGAGCTGGTGTATGTGCCCTTGGTGCAGCGGTAGCAAAGAACATGGGTGATGATCAGATGGTATATTACTATTTGAGCAAATTAAAGGAGGTGAGTATTGCTTGCTTCTACATTTTTACTGTTCTGTTTGACTAGGCATAATATTCAATAGCAGTGGTTGTGATTTGCAACAGATCAGGCTTTCTAGTGACCTTCCTGATGAACTACTGTATGGTAGATGTGGTTACTTGTGGGCGTGTCAGTTCATAAACAGACATTTGGGCAAAGAGACTATCTCGTTGGTCGAAATGGTAGAATCTCTTCACGTTTCTATCCTTTTTTCACTTGAATTGTTAAATAGCACCTTCGTGTAAAGTTTAGTAACATGTCACCAGGGCTCTGTTATCAAAGAAATTATTGGTAATGGGAGGAATATGGGAGGCAGGGGCCGTAGCCCATTGATGTCTGAGTGGTATGGCGAGAGATACTGGGGTGCGGCTCATGGACTAGCTGGAATCATGCATGTTTTGATGGACTTTGAGCTAAAGCCTGATGAGTGTGAAGATGTCAAGGAAACTCTTAAGTACATGATAAAGAATCGGTTCCAAAGTGGTAACTACCCTGTGAGTGAAGAAGATAGACAAAGAGATGTTCTTGTGCATTGGTGTCATGGCGCCCCTGGAATTGCACTAACACTTGTCAAAGCTGCCGAGGTAAATCGTTTATCAATGATCAGAACACTATTTTGCGAAGGACTTGTATCACTTTATCGCCAGTACACAATTTTGCAAAGGATTTAAGTGTCATGAAACTGATTATAGTGCTTAGAACTCCATGCAGCATTCACTGGTGCAATATAATTTACTATTAGTCCACGGACATGGGAGTTCTTTTCTCTCTTTTCTGATCCATGCTTTTCATTTAGAGTAACTTAACAGACAAAAAGGATACTTAGTTGCCTCTAGCAGTCATACGCTGTGGACACTTGTACGTGGCCCTTTAATGCTTAGTTTATTTATGAGAGACCTACAACACCATTAGTAAGAGATTCGAAATTTGTGACCTCATTACTAAGTTTGAGTTGCATCTAAATCACTCTCCTTATTTAAGAATATGACTCTTGATTGCTCATATTAACCTCAGGTGTTTGGGGATAAAGTATTTCTGCAAGCAGCGATAGATGCAGCAGATGTTGTTTGGAATCGGGGCCTTCTCAAGAGAGTTGGAATTTGTCATGGTATCAGTGGCAATTCTTACGTCTTCCTTGCATTATATCGACTCACTGGAGAAGTGCGATTTCTCTACCGAGCAAAGGCTTTTAGTTGTTTTTTGTTGGATCGATCCCACAAGCTTATATCTGAAGGGGAAATGCATGGAGGAGATAGCAGATACTCACTCTTTGAAGGAATTGGTGGTATGGCTTATCTTTTCTTGGACATGGTTCACCCCACTGATGCAAAATTTCCGGCTTATGAACTATGAATATTCTTTTCCTTAGAATGCACACACATGTTTTGTAAATATGAAGCAATTTCTTCAAGAGATTGCCAATGTGTTCCATAGAAGTTTGATTTGCAGTAAGATTAGTCTTTTCAAACTCATGCATTTTTAGTGTCCTGATTTTGGAGCAACAATTAAAATAAATCTGATGAATCAAATTTATGTGAGTGATTTGATTACATTAGGATCAACATTGTAGGCTGTAACATGATGATGATAATTGAAAACCATCTTAGAAAGCGTATGAGTAAATATGCTTTAGTACAAGAATAACCTTGCGGGAAGCCGGGAATTGTTTGCTTTATTTTAAGAATGTAATTGCTGACACATGAGAACACCGAGAACACACATGAAGCCTGATTGTTTTGCTTGTACTCCATGAAGAACTAGATAATTTGATAAGCTTTTTTAGGGATGTGAGTAGAAGTTGGTTTACTTTATCTGGAAATTGGTCCTCAACAAAATGGTTTCCTTGTGGGACAAACAAATATTATTTTCAGATCAGGGATTCACAGTCTGAGCATTCCACTGGTAATCTAGTCTCCCAGAGTTGTCCAGCAACTTGTAACTCACACTTTCTGTAAACGAATTAAAATGTTCTTCACCAGAGACTCGATACCAAATAGTCTGAAGTCCGCTGCTTTCCCTGGTTCCTGAAGGACCCAGAAAGAGAATTGATTGCGTTACTTATGTAAGAACAGTCTATTTAACTCAATAAACTGAAGTTGCCCTCCATCTCATTTCCGTTGGGAATGGAATCCGGGGCACCATTGTCACAACTCCTGGAAGTCTTGTTCAAGCAATGTGAAGCGGAAAGAAAACCCTGAGAGCCAAATTTTTTTCCCAACAAGACAAACATGTGCATTGTCGAATTATCAAATTCATACCTTGCTCTAAATTTTATGCTACTGATAATATTAGGCGATTACTTGGATTCAACATTTTCAGTTGCTCGCCTTTGGGAGCTGAAAATAATGAAAAAGAAAATCCAGGAGGTCATCCACAATGTAGTGTTTTCAGCTTCAGGCTCTGCAAGTAACCTCAGATATTTCATACCGTTATCAGGGGCACCGTTTTCCTGGAAACCGATGACTGCACCGATTTGATAATCACAAAAAAGGAAGACGTATCATACTAATATTTTTCCAGATAATTCAAGTATATACTGCGGAAATTTAAAACTGGGTCTGTCGAATCTCAGTAAGATGAAGTTTTAACCATCTTTACAGTTTCCTAATCCTAATACGAGTCTTGTAAATTTTTTTTTACTTAAAAATTTGAGTTGGAACTAAAATTTCCTAATCCTATTGGAATTTTTATTAGTACCGAGTACCGACTATGTCACGTGTATATAAGTTCATAGCTTCCCTCTAATCGATTTGTATCAGAAGACCAAATAAGGAAACTCTCTGCAGCAAAGATCAGGTGCGTCCGTTCGATCAGGTTTAAGTTTGCTTTCTTTGAAAGCCATTTTCTCTTCCAATGGAGAGGTTCAAGTATTATTGTCGCGGCCAGAGAGTTGTTGGTTGCGAGTTTTTCTTTGCCAACTTACAGTTCTTGATGAACAATATGAGTGATGAGATCAAAATAGCGTTTTTCTAAGTCAATATCAATTTTTTTGGGCTGTTAGAGATCGTTCTCATATAGTAGATATTCAAGAAGGCTGATTACGATGGAGAAGTACACAAAAATTAAAGAAGTCGGGAGTGGAAGCTTTGGGGTTGTTTGGAAAGCAATGAACAAGTTCACGGGTGAATTTGTCGCTGTGAAGGTGATTAAACAGAGTTTTGATTCATGGACTTGGGAAGATTGCCTGAATCTCAGAGAAGTAAAAGCCCTGAGGAAGATGAACCACCCCCACGTGGTGAAGCTCAAAGAACTGATCAAGGAACAGGGCACTCTGTACTTCGTATTCGAATTCATGGATTGCGACCTACTGCAGCTGATGATCGAGAAACAGAGGATGGGAGGAGCCAAGTTCTCAGAATCCATGGTGAAAGATTGGTGTTTCCGAGTTTTCCATGGACTTTCCCACATGCATCAACGCGGATACTTCCATCGGGACCTCAAGCCGGAGAATTTACTACTCTCCGAAGACGGCGTGATCAAGATTGCTGATATGGGACTTGCCCGGGAGATTGATTCTAACCCTCCATACACAGAGTACGTCATGACACGGTGGTATCGAGCACCAGAAGTTATGCTTTGCTCGAAGAATTACGGCCCTGCTGTGGATATGTGGTCAATGGGGGCAATCATGGTTGAACTGTTTACTCTGTCTCCCCTGTTTCCGGGAATGAATTCGCGGGATCAGATGCATAAGATATGCTCCGTTTTGGGGACTCCAACCGAGAAAGATTGGCCGGAAGGTATCCGACTTGCTAACGCTCTGAACTACAAATTCCCTCTGTGCGACGGCATCTATCTCCCTGCTTTCATCCCTTGTGCAAGCCCAGACGCAATAGATCTGATTCAATCACTCTGTTCGTGGGATCCGAACAAGAGGCCATCTGCAGCGCAGGCGCTTCAACATCCCTTTTTCCGGAGCTATTATCGAATTCCAGCACCATTAAGGGAGAAATATTATCAGAGCAATTTGAAGAAGCAACCGCCAATTCAGCGGCCAGTACATTTGAAGATAAACCAACAATCCAATGTGTGCGATGGACAATCTGAAGTGATGCTTCCTCACAAGAAGCTGGAATTTCAGTTACCCCTTTGTTAAGCTATTTAGAGCTCTTTCTTTATCAGAGATACTATTTGGTCTATATATGTATTGATGATACTTTTTCATAGTGCTTGGTTTCATCTGCTTTGTAATAGATTTACGTTGATTTTTGGTAGTTCAATTTCTGTATTCTGGTAAGTCTTAAGCACTACCAGATCGTTTTATATATTTATTAATAAATCGGGGATTCTGCAGGTTATGTATAGGGGGATTATAATATTCATCTTAGAGGTATAGCCTCTAAGTGTGTTGTGTTCTTCTATATATAGCTTTGTGGTCTCTCTTTATTTTTGCTTAAGAAAAATGTATTGATCATACCACCTCTACTATGTATGATGTTATAAGTTATGGTTTTAACTTTTCTAGATGATTTTCCTTCATTTTATATTCTTTTGATAGATTCAATTTACCATCGGATAATAATGTTTTAAACACAGAATTTGGTCTAGTAGTTCAGAACAGTCACCGAGCTCTATTAAACTTAGGTCGTATTCTTGTGTCTTCTTTCCATTGTACCGACTAACTTGAGAAGCGCAATTTCTGTATCGAGCAAGGGATTTTAGTTGTTTTCCGCTGGATCAAGATTAGAAAGCTGATACTCAGTCTTGGAAGGAATTGGTGGTGTGGACCGCATGGTTTATCTTTCCTTTACCCTAATGCCACAATTCCAGCTTACCAACAACGAACCATTTCCTTAGAAGGAGAAATCTAGGAGTGACTTGTAACATATGAAGCATTTCCTTCAAGGTATTGCTGAATGCTGATGGATCCCGCTGAAGTTTCAGTTTGGCTTTCACAGGTTTCATGTATTTTCAAGTTTCAGCTCTTGTGCATTTTCAAAGTTCTGATTTTGCAGTGACAGTTAAAATTTAGTTGATAAATGGGTATTTAATTTTTTAAGGAGTGATTTGATAGCTGGGTGGGGGTGTTGTTTCAATTTTATTGTTGAAATGGTACGTTAGAGAATTAGAGTTACGAGCAACCTTTTCCCTCCTTAATGTGGGAAAATCTGAAATTTTTGGATACACACAACCAATCTTGCTTGCTTTCACAGTTACACGCACATCAAATTTGAATCTGGCATTGCTAAATTGGATTGGAGTCCGACCTCTTTTGTTTATAATTATAAATGGCCTGAATATTGTAATTCCATAGCATTATTATCAATCCTTTGGAAAAGCAAACAATAATAAAAAAATGAGTTCCGTCTGGAAAATATTTCTTCCCCTCTTTAGGATATATATGATTTGTGTTTAATTTGGGTTAAGGAACTCTCTATACTGTTTTTCTTAAAAATGTAAAAAAAAGAAAATTTTGAATGGTGAATATACCATTTGCATATTCTTTTTCAAAAAAAAAAAAAAACCCATTTACATATTTATATATTATTTTAAAAACCTACTAATAAACAAAAAAAGACAAGAATAGAACTGAGAATTTTTTCTCTCTTCTTGTTGACTCTCTCTCTCTGCGCATGTGAGCATAGCATGCGCTGCCATGGCGAAGGGGAAGACTATAGGTGAGAGAGTGCAAAAAGAGGGTGGAGAAGACATTTCGAAGGCCAAGGAGATGAATCACCGAAGGAATTGGTGGGTATTGAGTGCAGAAGAGTAGATCTGGAACAGGGAACGGTTCGCACAGAGGGGAGAATTGTCTAGATCTGGTTAAGGGGCTTCGCTGAATCAAGAGGCGCGAACCCTAAGAGAGCTATTAGGGATTAATCCAGCCAGGAAATTGCACTGGACAAGAAGGAAATGATGGAGGAGAACAACCAACAGCTACTGTTTGGGAGGGGTTTGATATGAAGAAAATGAAAAAAAGTAGGAGCTGCTCTGGATTTAGTGCAGCCGCAGTTAGTTGAAGGGAAGAAGGTCGCGATGGTTCAGAAGGAAGCAGTAGAGCCGGAAACGGAGTACTAGCGTCCGTTGGTCATCAGCTTCGTACTGGGAGCCGATCCGCTGATTAAAGTTATGGAGAAGTTCTATCGGCAATATGGCAACACTTGGGAGTGGAAAAGGTACTTTTTCTACCTACTGGATTGTATCTTATTAGATTTTCATCAATTAAGTCTAGAGATGAAGTGTTGAAAACATCTGTTTATCATATGGGTGTGAATCCTGTAGTGGTTAAGCCATGGGCTGTGGAGAAGGGTATGAATTATCGTGATATCAAACACGTTCCAATATGGTTACAATTTCCTAGTCTTGATTTGAAGTTCTGGAACCCTAGTACCTTAAGTCCAATAGCAAGTACTCCAGGAACCCCCACAGCAGCGGATGAACTGACAAACTACAAAGAGAGAGCAGCATATGCTAGTGTCCTTGTTGATGTTGAGATACAGGACAAACCCCCATTGGTAGGAACCTGTCACAAGTTTAATATCATCACCAGATCTATCTTTTACCAATATATTGTAGGTTGCAAATGACAGCAATCTAATTATGTAGAGAACGAAATATCGATTTGTATGTTTGTGGTTATGCCAGGTGTCAATTGTAGGATAACTATTAATCGTCTGAACTATACCTGTTAGGTTTAGGAATTGGCTTTGGGCACATGCTTCCTAAATCGAGTCAGGTAGGTTTAGGAAGATTTCCTATTATTCTACTAAAAATATGAGGATTAGTCGATGTAATACACGGAAAATTTCTAGAAATTAATGGTTACCATTTATTTAAAATAAGAATGTTGTAGGATGTACATATAGAGAAATAATATTAATAATAATAATAATACCAACAAAAATTTTCATAGTAAAGTAAGTAGTAATAGAAAACTCTTAAAATAATAAGGAAGAGATAGGTAAGAATAGTGAAAGTCTTAAAATAATAAGGTTAATATAAGGTTTGGGTAGTTACACAAATGTTTTTCAACAAATATGCTAGTCAGCTACAATACAAATGTTAATATAAGGTTCAATATAATCTTGTTGTCTCTATCAGTTATGTTGGTAGATTCCTCAAGAGAAATTATTCAGTGAAACTACTGTACCACGTAGGATTGTGCAGTTAGATACAATAATAGGGTAAAGTAGTAATTTTGAGTGAGATATATAATTTCTACAGGAGTTATACCACTAAAATAGAGGGGTGCTAGTACTTGCTGCACTAAAAATCAAGATACAACCGCTGTACCCAATAATTTTTCATTCCTCAAAAGTTTTAATTATCTTTTTCAATGTTAATTTCATGCATGATGCGAATTCTAATGCTTAGACTGTGCATTTTAATACATTCCCTTGGGAGATATAATGCTAAAAACATTGCTTCTTGAAGTTGTTCCAAACTCAACATGTTAAAAATACTCATGTTAGCTTGATGTAAAATTGGTCAAATTCTCAATTCAAATGTAAAATACAAAACTAAGGGAAAAAAAAACAAAATAGTTGAAATTAAATACAATAGGGAACAAACCTCAGGAAGTAGTTGCTATGCAGTCTCTAAGTGGGATAGCTAACAAGCTACTGAATTATTAGGAGACACAAGGGTTACATATGACAGAACTTGAGCTAAGGAGGGACTGGTGTTTGATCCAGGTCCTGTTTATCATGAGTAATATCTTGACTTGGAACGTAAGGGGTTTAAACTCTCCCCTAAAACTGAATGAAGTGATCGAAAGAGTTAAAGAAGGACATTACAATTTGGTATGTTTGGTTGAAACAAAAATGTGCAAAGTTAGAGGGGAGCAATATTTACACCAATACTAGACTAGATGGAAGTAGACAACAAATTATAATAGTCATGAGAGAGGTAGAGTTATGATTATGTGGAATAATGATCTAGAGGTAAATCCTCTGAGTCAGAACTCCCAAATGATTCATTGTATATGCAAGATCAAGGATGATAATAGTCAATTCTTCTTCATTGGAGTTTATGTTCAAATGAACAAGAGGAAAGGTCACACTTGTTGATGGACTTGGTAGGGACCCGAGATGTATAGGGGGCCATGGCTGCTCATGGGGGAGTTTAATAACATACTGAAACCAGAGGAGAAGTTGGGGGGTCGACCTGTAGTAATGCAAGACTTTGAAGAGTTCCAATGGTGTCTAGATGAGTGTGGAATTAAGGATATGAGTCAGAAAGGGAAAGTATTTACGTGGTGCAATCAAAGGACGGGATATGACAAGGTGTATGCCAAATTAGACAGAGCCCTAGTTAATGGGGATTGGATTGAAAAATATACTGAGTCAATAGCTTCAATTTTAATGGAAGGTGTTTCAGATCATTCACCTATAGTGATGCAGTTAAATGTGGAAACACAAAAGGGGAGGAAAGCTTTCAAATATTTTAATATGTGGAGCCAGCCATCTTAATTTTTGAATGTTGTGAAAAACATCTGGGAGCAACAAACAAGAGGTACATGTATGTTCTAGCTATGTCAGAAACTATAAAGGCTGAAGTATCCATTGAAACAACTGAATAGAGTTCAGGTTGCAGACATCGCAGAAAAGGCAAATCAGTAGTAGTTACAGCTATAGCAAATGAGGAATTGAGTAATGATCCAAGCAATGCTGAACTTCAGGAGAAAAAGAGAGGAATGTGTAGGAAATATATAGAATCAAGGAGGGCTGCTAATAGTTTCCTACAACAAAAGGCAAAGGAGAAGTGGCTTGGTGAAGGGGATGAGAATACGAGGTATTTTCATTCGTTACTGATGATCAAAACCATGAAGAATAAATATGGTCAGTATTTGATGAGGCAGGGGTGGAGAATACTGACAAGCAGGGCATACAAGATCACTTTGTCAACTACTATCAGAATTTATTGGGGAAGTCTAATGTAAGAAGCCCAGTGGATCCAATAGTCTTCAAATGTGGACCAGTTCTATTAGTAAAACAACAAATAAAGTTAATCTGGCCAATACAGAGAAGAGAAATCAAAGGATCCATATGGGAAATGGGCGTGAATAAAATCTGTCGGTTATGGTGCAAGATTCTTCAAAGAAGCATGGCAAGTGGTGGAGAATGATGTTGTAGTAGTTGTCTTGGAATCCTTTGCAACAGGCCAGGTACTCAAAAAACTTAGCTCCACTTTGGTAGCTTTGAATCCCGAAATTAAGTCTCGTTGTAATGCTAATCATTATAGACCTATTTCATGCTGCAACGTGATTTATAAATGTATTTCAAAAATCTTATGTAATAGATTGAGATGTATTATACCTATATTAGTCGATGAGCATCAAAATGCATTTGCAAAAGATAGGTAGATCTTGCATAATGTATTGATAACTCAGGAAGTAATTAGGTTATATAGAAGAAAAGGGAGATTAGTGGGAAATTGTTGATGAAAATAGACTTAAAAAAGGCACATGATTTAGTTGAGTCGGGGTTTGTTAAAGAAATGTTATTAGGATATGATTTTTCAGAGGAATTTAGAAACTGGATTAGGGTGTGTCGACTCCTTCCTTTTCTCAGTCAGTGAATGGATGTTCAACGGGTTATTTTTCCTGGGAAAAGAGGGCTTAGACAAGGAGACCCTTTTTCTCCCCTCCTTTTTGTACTAGTCATGGAGTACCTCACTAGAAGTTTGAAGAAAGTAGCTGCAAAAGGGTTCAAATTTCACCCAATGTGTAAAGAGCTCAAATTTACCAATATATGTTTTGCGCGCAACCTAATGACCTTCTGCAAAGGAGATGTGAGAACAGTTAAGAAGATAATGGGGGTGTTTTATGGATTCAAAAGGACCACAGGGTTAGAAGGAAATGATCAGAAGTCCTCAGTATATTTTGGAGGGGTCAGTTAGTTGTTGCAGGAGAAAATATGTGAAATAGCTGGGTTTCCTATGAGATCATTCCCGATGAAATGTTTTGGAATGTCACTAGCCCTAAAAAGTGGTCACACATAGAGTGCCAGAAAATCATAAATAGGATTGTAGTAAGAATTAAATCTTGGAGTTCCAGGCATCTCTAGTATGTGGGTAGGTTGGTGCTAGTTAACTCTGTGCTTATGTCGATGCATGCATACTTATTGGGGAACCATGTTTGTATTGCCACAGATTATAATTAGCATGGTGAACATAATATGCGTGGAATTTTTGTGGGGAATTAAAGATAATAGGAGAGTAGTGCATCTGGTGAACTGGCAAGAAGTTTTGTAAGAGAAGAAAGTGGAGGGTGGATTAGGAAGAAGGGATGCGAAAATCTAGAATGGAGCAGTCATTCTGAAATAGGTGTGGTACTTGGTTGTTCAGAAGGATGCCTTATGGATAAGGTAGATCCATGGAGTATATATTAAAAACTTTTCTTTTGGGGATGTGCAACAAAAGAATGATGCGAGCTGGCAATGGAAACAAATATTGAAGATAAGAGATCAGGGAAAAACAGGGTTTGATGAGAATAGGTGGACAACAACTAGCAGTGTCAAGTATACTATAAACTCTGGGTTTGCCTAGTTGGTTGGGAATGGAGAAAAAGTTAGGGAGACTTAGTATATTTGGTCAAGAATGAATGTTTCAAACCATGCATTCATAACCTGGCTAACATGGAAAAAAAAAGACTGTTGACCCGAGATAGGTTTGTATCCATGCATTTGAATGTTAATGACATAAGTTGTTTGCTCTGTAAACAGTATCCAGAAATGGTGGAGCACTTATTTCTCCAGTTGCTAAACAACTGAAGGAGCAATGGTTCATTGGCTAGATTGTAAGAAGATTGCTGAAGATGAGAGTAGATGGAAAGACCAAGTACTGACAATGTGGAAGGGAAGAAAGATGAAAAAGGAAAATCCTCTGGGCTGCTATTTGCTATGTGCGTTTATTACTTATGGGAAGAGAGGAACAAGAGATGCTTTAAAAATCAAGAAAGGAAGGCAGAAGACATACTCAAGCTGATAAAATGGAGTTGAAATACAGGTTCTTACACTGTCATAAGAAGCAAAACCAAAACAGAAAAAATTTTACTTCAGCAGTTTTTTGTGATGTAAAGTTTTGGTATGTTTGCTTAGGGTTTTGTTGAAATCCGGTGAGTTGTTTAAGTAATGTCTTAATTGGAGGTTGCATCCTCTGCAATTTTGTAGAAGTGTAGATGCTTTAAGCTGAGCTGTATTGAACTCTTTTCTTTTCTTTTTTTTTTTCTTTTTGATAATATACATATTTACCTTTTACACAAAAAAAAAGGCTTTGTTTGTTTTGTTTTTTGAATTGTTTTTTGGTAATAATAAAATAATAACTGTCCCATCTCAACTTATCTTTTTATATTTTTAATGCACTTTTTTACATTTCTAATAGAAAAAACACCTAAAAACACACACTAAAAAAACGAAACAAACATACCTTTAATTTTTTGACATGGTATAAGTTAAGGATCAATTGTGTCGAGGAAAAAAAGATTACTTTGTAGATAATGAAATTAAGATGGAGAGAAGATGAATGAAGTTAGAAGTCGGCCAAGTGGCACATGAAAAGTTATCAACAAGATTGCAATGACCTTCGATGTAATCCTAAAGTTCCTATCATATATTTTTTTTGTCCCTTCAGGGACATCCGATATCGTATATTTTGAAAATTATACTTCTCCAGGAAGAAGCCGACAACTACCTCTCATTTAACTAGCTTGTTAATTTCAGAAATGGTTTCGTCTTAGCCGAGGATATACGGCTTAATATAATATTCTCACTAGTACAAATTATAAGTTATAAATTTGAACTAAATTTAGTTTAGATTTAAATAATTTATTTATAATTAATACCAGATGGAGGTATATATTAGTATTTGATTAAATTTTTTAGTGGCCATTAATCAAACCTAACATAAAGTGCATCAAGAAATCACCTGGAGCCAGGGATATAAACACTCCTCAAAGCTTGCATTGTCAATTCAGCTTGTTGGTCTATTAATTCGTGAATATGCTTTCCTTCTTCAAAGTTACTGCCAAATCCCGTTTTCGACAAAATCTCTGCCGAGAGAAAACGGAACTCCTCAAGCACGTCCACTTCAATTTCATTAGTTTCTCTTGTCCCATCTTCCCACTTCTGTAGAACCTTTTCAACACTATTCACGACTTCAGGAATCCATGACTGAAAGAGATATTAATGAATTAGTGTATATACATATATATATATATATGTATATATATATTACGTTTCAGGAAATGAAAAAAAAATTGTATAATTATTATAATGTTTCTATTTAACTTATGGGGGTCGGATTAATTCTGTTTCTTTTCTTTTCCTTTCTTTTTTTGTTTTTTTTAAATCCCCATCGCTTTAATAATAATTTACCCCAACCAAAGACTGGTACACATCCTTGAACTACTCCTTTTCTTATTAATGGATTAAGAGTAGTTTGCATAAATTTTTCTATTATCCTCCGCAGACTGGATTCCATCCTAGAACCACTGCTGTTTTTTTTAGATGGATCAAGAGTTGTTTCCACACATTTTCTATTGTTATCCACGTTATTATACATTACTGTTTTCTAGGCACAAGCCAATACTATTATCTGATATTATTACGTTCTCCTTTTACCGATAATAATATAATGACAACTGTCATGTTACAGTATAGCCTACACATATATATGGGAAAAATATAGTCGAAATATAGTGGCTGATATGCTAATGAGTAAAATTGTAAATTTGTGAAGAAAACGTAAAAATTTTAATAGAAAACGTCGTTAAAATATGGAGGTCATAACACTATTTGCATTTAAAAAAAAAAGGTGGAATGCCTCATTTGCTGTATATATACACTTTAAGTAGCAAGACTTCACAATAGTCGATTATGTCAATAAGAATCCCATAATAATGCATATAAAGCAGTAACAAAACAAATTGAAAAAGAGAATCGTATTTACAAAAGATCAGTTTTATTTTTATTTTATTTTTATTTGTTTTTTTTGCGAGGGGGGGGGGAATGAAGAGAAGTTACCTTCACTCTTTCAAAGTTGAAAGCCGGGTTAGCCACTTTCCGATGAACGGACCATTTCCGACCCTCAATGCCAACAAGTCCCTTTCCAAAGAGCTCCTCGGCCGGCGGTGGAAGCCTGACTTTGATCGCAAGGCCCGATTTATTTAGAAAAACATCTTTTAGCATTTCAGGTGCAGCGATAGCCAACCTTGGAGTAGATCCATGCCAAAACAGCATAGTTTTACCATACATGGAGGACCACTTGTGGTAACATGGATCCAAACGGTGAACTATGTCGTGGCTCGATTCTTCTCCCATTGGGTTGTTGTAAGTCCAATTAAACTCTTGCTCGAACTCCAGCGAATTCCCATATATAGGACGATAGCCGGGGCCTTTAATTCCTTGTCTCTTGAAGTGTCGTAAGATTTTGTATGGGATCCAGAGGGTGGTATATATGAACCTCACGAGGATGAAGATTAAAAGAACTATGCAAGTTGGAAGAATTGATGGCCATGGATGCATGGTTTTTGGTTTAACGCATCAAAAGTGAAATCTGGTATTAATTTGTTCAAGGACTGGAGAATAGGTATCTTTGTACAGGAATGTCCTCAAGAAACTATCAATTTGTACGAGGTTTTTGTTTTAGAAAAAGAGAAAAAGAAACTATTACTACTAGAAAAATTATTGTTGATGAGTAACGTACCATTTTTTTATTTTCATTAATAACAAAACAACATTATTCAAAGATAATGACAAAACTTCATCTTGACAATCTGGATATACGTGGTGTCTAAACTCACATGGCCATATTGTCGCATTAAGTCCGTTTTAATTTTCGTGCCAAAGGGCAAAGATTCTTAAACAACACTGTCTCCCACCTGTACCCGCATCATACTTTGTCTGAATCCGTATCATATTAATACTTTTTTTCTTTTGGCCAGATATGTAATTTTTTATTGCTTTCCCCACTTAACACTTTACACTGTCTTTGTGTAACACCATTGCTATGCTATTTCAGAAACTACTACACCAATTGATACCATATTGTTGAGTTTGGAAGATTATCTCACCCTATGGCATATCATGCAAATTAGGTCAATAGGTATGCGCGACCTTTCTGCTTTTCAAACGAAGACAATGATATAACGACCCCAAAATTCAAGCTCAAATTAAAACGAGTTTAAAACTCTAAGGTCGCCGCCGAGCGATCTCTCGCTGAAGGCATCGTGAAACAGAAACTATCTTAATGCATTGGTATTATCTGAACTGAGAATAATATTACATTGTTATGATATAATCCACCTTTGTGAAAGTCTATAAAATATAGAAACAATAGTCTCGTTGTAAAGGAGAAACTATCACAATCTATACACCATATCATAATTAGCAAGGTGCAGACCAAAACTATACTCATGGCAGATTTCGTTCTTTATCTTCGAGCACAACTCGGCTGCTACCTTCGTTGCCTATTAACCTAGGACGGTGAAGGTAAAATATAGAGGATGAGCTAGCGCTAAGTGAAGTCCTCTCTATCCTAACCTATCGATATATACACATACAATTCATGCACATTCTATCGTTTGCAAGCAACTAAAAAACAACAATCATTCTATAATTCCATAAACATAATTTCATAAACAATAAGTTGAGCATTACCATCATATCAATTCAATAAAACATTCATTGACCCGGCCAAGGCTATCATTCAATCAAAGGAAGGATACGGGGACATAGTGAGGGTCGCTATACACCTATGTGGCATATGAAGCGAGAATCCAAACCAGAGGCCAACACTGTCATCAATATTCACATTTCATTACATTTGTGGCCAACATTAGCGCCACCATTGGAAACCTTATATCCCCTGTGGCCAATACTAGTGCCACCATTAGATACTCATGAGTACCACATTCACTGGCCGAGGGGGTTAACCTTAACATCCAAGCCCAATACCGGCATGCAAGGCTTCACAAAAATCAAGGCAATGGGCCCAGGCTTCGAGCACGTTAGTCACTCGAGCCACAAACACACGCTGACATTCAATCATTCAATACAATCACTCATTGCATTTCATTAACATTTCATTTCATTAGGGTGATAAAGTACACCCGAGATATCATTCTCATTCTCTTTTATTGCTTCCACATTGTCACTTTAACACGTAAGTACATTCATTTCACATTATCACTTTAACACATTGCTACAATCAATAGCACCTTCTTAGACAAATACATTGGCACATACATTCACGTTGTCACTCTAGCTCATTGACATCAAATAATCACATTATCACTCAACCACATTGACACAATTATTTCAAAAATCTTTCATAGTCACTAAGCACATAACATTTATTCCCTAGTGATAAAGTACACTAAGGATCATAAGATAACATGCATTCGTTCATTTGATCAAACATAATACCAACAATATTAAAAGTATGAGAAACTTCACTAAGGCATACAGACTCTTTCACATTTATAAGCACAATAAAGGGAGACAATCACATGTAAGTCTCAGGAGGAGTACTCACCTTTACTAAAACTATGCTTTTTCCCCGAATTCAAATGGAATTTCAAGATGTCTCCATTCTTGCGGTCTATAAGCTACCTTGATGGACAGATATTTAGAAGGAAGAAATTAATCAGGAAAGGGTTCAGGGCCAAAGAGAAGTGATTACTTTATGTTAACATTTTAAATCCTAAACTCTGAATTTCATATATACTATTCACCCTATATATTGTCACCACATTGATCTATGTTGTAGCATTGTAAATTTTCGCACTGGTGTAGAGAATGACAAGGTACTGTAATTCATTCTATTTGTTTTAGAAGTGTTTGCATCTAAAAAAAAAATATAAATATTAAATTTTCTTTACTCATGATTTTTTATGAGTTTCTCTGATAGCGAATTGATTAGTTGATGGGACTGCTTGAATATTTCTCACTAACCTCAAGACAAGGGTATGTCAGATGACATATTTTATTTTATTTTATTTTATTTTGATAATGCTAGAACCCCACCAGAGATGGGTAAACCCACGCCCACTGCAATAGCCTGCAGACCACAGTAGGAGATAAACCACCACAGGCAAGCCCTGGGTGACAAGCTCGGGTGCAAAATCGAGGGTCCATTAGTAGGTTAGCCATAACAAGCCTCTAGAAGGGCCAATAGGCTGTGAGCCAACCCCTCACTTTTTGTTGGAGGGAAGAAATTGAATTCATGACCTCCTTTGGAGCAAGGGTGGTTTTTACCACTGAACCAACTCCTTATTCACTATTTAAGTTTTTGGAGACAATTCTTTTAAAATTTTTTAATTAAAATTAATGCAGTTTGCACTTTGTAGGCAAAAGATGAGGTTTACAAATTGTTGTTGTGGGTTGTATTTTTTTATTTATGTGTATATGTATTTGAGATGTTTTGAATGATTTTAATTTCTCTAAAATTTTTGCACTTAAAAAGTATAATTTCTTAACGAGTCAAATACTATATTTTTTATTGTGCTATGGCATTGAAATGGGTGGTTGTCATTTTACCTGTAAGTTTTTTTTATTTTTAATTTTTAATTTGTGTTTTTTATTTTGTTTCTGATTTTGGATTGAGGTTTTTCATTTGAATAATTTTATTATTTATGCATGTGGAGCCATAAAATGAGAATTTTGAGTCCATGAAAATTTGGATTTAACAAGATCGAAGTTCATTATTTTTTGTTCTCCTTTAATAGTTGGTTTTCAACAACAATATTCTTTTTTTTTTTTTAAAGATCAACAGTAATATTCTTTTTTACAGAATTTTCTATCTATCAAATTCCAAATGATTAGACGATGTGTTGTTAAATATTCTTTATTTAAAGTTCGGATTTGGTGCAAATTAAAGATGTGTTGTTTCATTTGTTCAAACAATTTATATTCTTAAAAATAATTTTTTTATTTATGATTCTACACATACGTACACACACATACACAAATAGTGAATTCGGATTCGCTAATTGATTCAATTGAAATGCATCTGAATTCATAGGGTCAATGAATGTCATTTATTGATATCAATTTTTTAGATAAATTTGAACTCAATCATTTATACAAATCAATTATAATCCGGTCATGATGATAAGAATCTTCATAATACTTCCTAATTATGTGCAAGTATTTATTTAAAAATATAATTTATTTTGAAACTATTGTTTGTTATGGTTCAAAATAATATTGTAATCTTACCTTTAGTTGTCATAATCGATGATCAATGAACAATGTACATTTTTCCATTTCAGATTATCAAGTGTCCATTTCAAAATTTGAAATCATTAATTATGCAACAAAATTAAAGGACCAAACGAACAAAATATTGATTAATGACATATTTGGTTTAAATCTTGATTGACATAATTTGAAATTTAAAAATTTCTCTTGAATATTTACCCCATCTCATTTCTCTTCCCACTATATATATCCGTGCCACCCACACCAACCAAAGCATGAGGAAAAAAAATCTAATCATCACTACAAAATAATTTTCAAATTCCTATTTTGAATTTACAAAAGTTTACTAACATAGAGGAAATTGAGATCTTTAGTAATTTTGCACCAGCAAACAACAAAGTTAGAGAGGATTCGCAAAAAATAAACTAAACAAAATTCTTTCTATGTCAGTCCAACCTCATTTGATTCAGTGATATGTATACCAATTAATTTCTTCTTCTTCTTCACATGCTTGAGGTTAAAGGACTCTTGGTTGCTTTCATAATTTAATGTATTTTTTTTATTAGTTTCATTTCCTTTCAAACTATTAGTAAATTTTTATAAATTTTTTCATAAAAATATTTATTCTTACCCCGCAACAAAAAAAGGCCGGAATCTGGTTGTGGTGAATCCAATTTAGCGAGGCCGGTTGGATTCAAATTTGATGTGCGTGTAAGCAACCTCGGTTCTGTGTTCAAAATTTCACTTTTTCCCACATTAAGGAGGGCAAGGTTGCTCGTAATTCTACTTCCCTAATGTTTTTCAGCAATAAAATTGAAACAACAAACCACCTAGTTATCAAATCACTCCTGTAAAATACCGGTTTATCAACTAAATTTAACTGTCACTGCAAAATCAGAACATTGAAAATGCACAAGAGTTGAAACTTGAAAATACATGGAACCCGAGAAAATCCATAGTGACAAACTGAAACTTCAGCGGGAGCCATCCGCATTCAGCAATCCCTAAAAAGGAAATGTTTCATACTATTTTACAAGTCACTCCTATATCCGCATTTTATCAACAAAGATTCCTCCTTCTAAGGACATGTTCATTGTTTGTAAGCCGGAAATTGTGCATGAGTGGGTAAGGGAAAGATAAACCATACCACCAATTCCTTCAAAGACTGAAATCAGCAAAAAACAACTAAAATCCCTGCTCGATACAGAAATCGCGCTTCGCCAGTTAGTCGGTATAAATGCAAGGAAGACGCGAGACTATGACCTAGGTTTAGTAAAGCTTGGTGACTGAACTAGTAGACCAAATTCTGTGTTTAAAACATTATCATCCGATGGTAATGTAATTTACTAAAAGCATAAAAAATGAAGGAAATTCATCTGAGAAAAGTTAAATCCATAATTTATAACTTCATACATAGTAGAGGTATCATCAATACATATATAGACCAAATAGTATCTCTGATAAAGAAAGAGCTCTAAATAGCTTAACAAAGGGGTAACTGAAATTCCAGCTTCTTGTGAGGAAGCATCACTTCAGATTGTCCATCGCACAAATTGGATTGTTGGTTTATCTTCAAATGTACTGGCCGCTGAATTGGCGGTTGCTTCTTCAAATTGCTCTGATAATATTTCTCCCTTAATGGTGCTGGAATTCGATAATAGCTCCGGAAAAAGGGATGTTGAAGCGCCTGCGCTGCAGCTGGCCTCTTGTTCGGATCCCACGAACAGAGTGATTGAATCAGATCTATTGCGTCTGGGCTTGCACAAGGGATGAAAGCAGGGAGATAGATGCCGTCGCACAGTGGGAATTTGTAGTTCAGAGCGTTAGCAAGTCGGATACCTTCCGGCTAATCTTTCTCGGTTGGAGTCCCCAAAACGGAGCATATCTTATGCATCTGATCCCGCGAATTCATCCCCGGAAACAGGGGAGACAGAGTAAACAGTTCAACCATGATTGCCCCCATTGACCACATATCCACAGCAGGGCCGTAATTCTTCGAGCAAAGCATAACTTCCGGTGCTCGATACCACCGTGTCATGACGTACTCTGTGTATGGAGGGTTAGAATCAATCTCCCGGGCAAGTCCCAAATCAGCAATCTTGATCACGCCGTCTTCGGAGAGTAGTAAATTCTCCGGCTTGAGGTCCCGATGAAAGTATCCGCGTTGATGCATGTGGGAAAGTCCTTGGAAAACTCGGAAACACCAATCTTTCACCATGGATTCTGAGAACTTGGCTCCTCCCATCCTCTGTTTCTCGATCATCAGCTGCAGTAGGTCGCAATCCATGAATTCGAATACGAAGTACAGAGTGCCCTGTTCCTTGATCAGTTCTTTGAGCTTCACCACGTGGGGGTGGTTCATCTTCCTCAGGGCTTTTACTTCTCTGAGATTCAGGCAATCTTCCCAAGTCCATGAATCAAAACTCTGTTTAATCACCTTCACAGCGACAAATTCACCCGTGAACTTGTTCATTGCTTTCAAACAACCCCAAAGCTTCCACTCCCGACTTCTTTAATTTTTGTGTACTTCTCCATCGTAATCAGCCTTCTTGAATATCTACTATATGAGAACGATCTCTAACAGCCCAAAAAAATTGATATTGACTTAGAAAAACGCTATTTTGATCTCATCACTCATATTGTTCATCAAGAACTGTAAGTTGGCAAAGAAAAACTCGCAACCAACAACTCTCTGGCCGCGACAATAATACTTGAACCTCTCCATTGGAAGAGAAAATGGCTTTCAAAGAAAGCAAACTTAAACCTGATCGAACGGACGCACCTGATCTTTGCTGCAGAGAGAGTTTCCTTATTTGGTCTTCTGATACAAATCGATTAGAGGGAAGCTATGAACTTATATACACGTGACATAGTCGGTACTCGGTACTAATAAAAATTCCAATAGGATTAGGAAATTTTAGTTCCAACTCAAATTTTTAAGTAAAAAAAAATTTACAAGACTCGTATTAGGATTAGGAAACTGTAAAGATGGTTAAAACTTCATCTTACTGAGATTCGACAGACCCAGTTTTAAATTTCCGCAGTATATACTTGAATTATCTGGAAAAATATTAGTATGATACGTCTTCCTTTTTTGTGATTATCAAATCGGTGCAGTCATCGGTTTCCAGGAAAACGGTGCCCCTGATAACGGTATGAAATATCTGAGGTTACTTGCAGAGCCTGAAGCTGAAAACACTACATTGTGGATGACCTCCTGGATCTCTTTTGTTGTTTGATTAGTTTCAGCTCTCAAAGGCGAGCAACCAAAAATCTTGGATCCAAATTCAGCATCGTAATCACCTAATGATATCACCTCGTGCACGCATGGCCTGTGCTCCTTACGACCTCTCCAATTATGTATCCCACGGATTTTTCTTTTTACTACTTTTTTCCGTTACGAAATAATTATCTTGTTTATTAATAATAGAAATAGAAATCAAATCAAAAAATTATTTTGGGACAGAAAAAATGTAATAAATCATCTACCTCTAAATTATTATTGTTTGTTGTCCCAAAATAATATAACAGTTATGATGATGAAAAACTTGCATTGATTCCAGGTTATCTTAAATTGCGAAATAGGTCAAACTGCTTTGATCAGTCTAATGTCGATACTCCCGCAAGTTTATGATTGTCTTGAAGGATACAACCTTGAGACGTGATCGAGGGATCCATTAACATGTCACTCATTGCTTTTTGTTTCACGTTCAACATGAGCCTTTGGACGATAAATATAGTATAATGCAAAACCCATGTAGCAATTTTATATTTTTTTTTTTTTAGTTTTAAAATGCACAAAAATGGGATTTAGTATTACTTTTACTACCTAAAAAAACTAAATCAATCTCCTAATCCCAAATCCTATGTGACAATTTCTTATAATTTTCAGTTTTAAAAATTTAAAAATAAACAAATTACCATTATGTATTTCTCTATTTATAATCACTGTATGATTAGCTAATCTTTAAAATTCAAATGGAGATCATTATGATTTTCCAAAATAGTAACGAGACCAAAGAGACGAATCCAATCACAACTGAATTTTTTTAAAAAATTAATTAAGTAATTTTCTTGAATTCTCTCTTCCTTTTCTACAGACTTCTTCTTCCCTATTTTACGTAGGTCTCCTTGATTTCCATCCACTTCAATAAGGAATTTATTTTACGTAGGTCTCCTTGATTCCATCATGTTCAATAAGGAATTCTTACAACCTCAGTTTCATTTCATGTGGAGCACCATAAAATCCATGAATATTGCGGTAACAAGAATATACAAAGAATTATTTTAGCATCTCGTTCATTTTATTTTTAATGTTCGTTAAACTTTGTTTTTTAATTCTTGACAATTTATGTTCTTCATTTTTTTTCTCATCCGTCCATCAGACGGGTTTAACATGGGTTTAACATCTAGTTGATATAATGATATCTTTTCAATTTCAAATCTTCCAGACTCCGAGACATTTGAATTAGATATTTGAATTAGACATTTCAAATCTCTATAATTGGGGGATTGTATACTTGATTTGTTGAATTAGATACGGATGGATTAAATATATGAAGAGATTTTAAGTTTCTGCTGCCATAATCCCATGAGTTTTCTTTTGCAGTTTTGATGTTTTTTGTTCATTTAAAAACAGGATATATAAGTTGTTAAATGTTGACGAGTCCGTATCCACCAAGTATTATCAGACCGGTCCGTCCGCCAATTAGGGCCTAGCCGATCTTGCAAATGCAATTTAGCAATTCGTTCCATTCTCCCCCTGCAGTTGCTGATTCCTTTCCTCGAGAGCTCGCTTCTCGGTTACCGCTTGATCTCTCTCAACTTGGGCTTCTTCTAGTTCTCGCCTTAGGTCCCTGGACCTCTTGGCGTGGTTCATCATGACTGCGCTCATCTATGGAAACCAGACACGGAACAGATATACATTCAATGATAAAATATGGAAGTTAACGAATGAGTATGGGTTGAAAAGTTTACCAATTTTAATCCATCTGCCTCAGTCAGGCTGGCAGCGAACTCTTCTAGCACAGGGCACTCGACGGTAGGAGGATTGTCAAAGGTGTAAACCGCGGTGGCAGGGCCCCCGGCTGGTATCTCAGGGGGCAGGATGGTTACATTCCCCTCGGTAGGTCTTTTTCCCTTCTCAACGAAACTTGGTCGAGTGCTTGGCCCGGTCTCTTCCCTTGCAGGCGCCTCCTTCTCAGTTGTAGGGCGAATAGTCTCCTAGGTCTGCTTTGTTGCTTCAATCTCCTTGTCAGGAGAAGTGTGGGTTTTTGACCTTTTCGAGAATGACCCCTTCTCGGATTCCCTGGCTACAGCCCTCCTCTTCTTCTTCCTCTTTATCTTTTATGCCGCTGATCTCATTGTGGAAGTGTCGTCATATGAGTTTACAACAGTAAAGGGGTTGGAGTCACCATATAATCCAGAACCAGCGTTTCTCGATGACATGACCTAAACACACAGAAATGATAAAGAGATTAGTACCTTCCTTTTTTCTGAAGGGGGCACCAAGGATCTCGTCAGCTTCTAATCACTCGATTGGCATGACAGGAACGAATTGCTGCATCGCTCCATATCCTAGTGTCTTGGGATATCTCTCGAGTTTCTCTAAATTGCTTGCAAGTTCTTTGATTTTCTCCTCGTCCTCCTCCAACCACTCGTCTTTTACCGCCTCGAGACCTTTGGATTCTCGATAATTCCAAGCTATACAGTACTTTTCAGGGGTCTTTACATGTAGGAAATTGGGCTTCCAAATTGGAGACCCACTATAGACTTCTACTATCTTTCGAGAGCCTGACGCAAGGTTTCTTTTCACCATATACTAATCCTGAAAGGCTGTCAACGGCATCGACACTCTAAAAAAGTAACTCCATAACATAAGGCTGGGTCTCACCTCGGCTCATTGGCACTTATTTATAAAACCGAGGACGTACATTATGAGGTTAGGGGTGAATCGAGCTAATGGGATTTTGTAATAGTGCACAATCTCCTCGAATAAAGGAAAAAGGGAAAATCTCAATCCTAGAAACATAAAACGTTCGTAAATTATGATTTTGCCTTCTGGAGGAGTATTGGCTCTCTCAGTCCCTAGGGGAGCTCTCATTTCTAAATCCTGGGGCAGGTTATATTTTGTTCTTACTAATCCAACCTTCTCGATGGAATTTATGGTGGAGGCAAAGTCATCTACAGTTCTTAATTCTGGGTTCCTAGCCATGATTCCACCTAGATTCGTACCAGTCTATTCAATCACAGGCAAACATAAGGGAATAAATGGAATCGAGAAATCATAGATCTAGGAACTTACTTGTGGTAGTTTTGGTAGCGGTTTCTATTCTCCTTTTGAGTTGTAGCCTCCCAGATTATTGATAGTCACCGGCGGCGGTATGGTTTGCTGAAAACACAGTGAGCAGTTCTGATAAAAATCGGTATTAGAGCGGTGAAGAAAATAGAGAGTTTTGAGGAATTTTTCGCTGCGTATTTTTTGGAAGGCGAAATTAATAGAAAAAGGCTCTGGGACTTTTTTCGTTAATAAAAGCAGTCCCTCTCCCCCACGACTCTACAGTTTAGGCGGAGTTCAAGGGGCAACAATGATGACACGGCTGTCGCTTGGGAAAGTGCGCATTGACCTGGCACAATTTTAGTTTGGGCGGGATTCTGAAGCGGGTTGTCTTCCCGGTTCGAATCTCAAACCACGAGTAATTCATCTGGTCTATATCATGCAGATTGGGATGAGACTTGTCCAGTAAACTTGGGCCGAGTCCAAGTCAGTTTTATTTTGTGTCAAATCTTGTTTATTCCATACAACTAACATTTGACAGAGGCACTTGAAGAGTCCGTATCCACCAAGGATTATCAGACCGGCCCGTCCGCCAATTAGGGCCTAGCCGACCTTGCAAAGGCAATTCGGGAATAAGAATCCTAATGGGATTCAGCTTCCCTCAAGGTAATTTCATGCCTATAAATAGGGTTGGTCTCACCACAATAAAGGTACGCAATCTCTAGCAAACCTTATCACTTACAGATATTCCTAAAGCCTTTTTCTGACTTAAGTATTGGAGTGTTTACACTCAGGAGACCCCCTAGACTCTCTTTTGCAGAAAACCCTAGCCGGAGTTCCACTATTGAACTGGCGGAGGCAAACCAAGCTTCGTCAAATGTATTCCCCATGTAACTTAGCATATGGTAGTATGAATGGCATGTATGTGTTTCATCCAAATTATTTTAAAGGGTGACAAGGCTCTGAATGGTACCTGAAGATTGGTAAGAAGATTTGGCAATTCTAAAACATGAGGAAATAGATTCAGAGGAGACTATGCTGGTCCTCCTCAAACACACATCCAAGGTATTGAAGACAACTACTTATGATCCTTTAAAAATGAATGGGATGCTCTTTTTGTTGCTTTCTCGGAGGTCTTTGATCAGGCATTGCATGACATCAAATATGGAGATTATGCAGATGAATGGTAGAGGTCAGTACGAAATGTTTTGGCATTCGATTCCTAAGCGTGATCATTATGTAAACTTCAAGCATAAGTAATGATTTTACTAATATTTTTTTTTCCGAGTTTTGGTTCATGTTATTTTATAATCTTATTTATTTTTTTCATTTATCAACATTTTTTTGCTTCAGTTAAGAGCTAAACGCCATCAGAACATCTTCTACCTTGGAGCGGAATCGAGCCTAACAGGTCACAAGCTTAAAAAAATAAATTGGATTCACTTTTTCATGGTTCCAATATGATTGTTGTTTATTCTGGGCATTATTAATGGTTTGATGATTCCCCTATTGTTATGTGTTCATTATGTCTGCAAATAGTGGACAAGTTCTATGTTTCTTTTTTTTTAATCAAAAAGGGAGTTCAATTGCAGTGGACAAGTTCTCTACTTGAGTTTTAACCTTGACAAATTGATTTTGTAGCAAATCAGGTATTGTTCGTCTTTTTCAAACACAAACTAAGATTGCTCTCTTGACATTGTACATAGAGAAAATTGCATGAAAAAGATTTTCCAAGTTCTCCATTGCAACTCGTGATGAGGCCGAATTATTAACAGTTGATTGATGACTTTTATGAGGGCGAATTGACATTTGATACTTGAGACAACGTCATTGTTGACTGCTTTACATAAAATTACAGTTGAAGAGCGTGAATCAGTCCATTTCCTGCCAAAAAAAAAAAAAAGAAAGAAAAGAAAAGAAAAGAAAAGAAAGCAAATCTTGCCTCCAAAAATTTTCTGAGGCAAAAAATGATATTAATTACATGTGACGGGTGTTCCCTCCACGACAATTATTAATTATACGGTGATTAATTTTATAGATTTATTAATTTTGGGTATTACACTAACGGTTTCTAATCAATCTAAATGTTAATTTATTTTTCTTTTGTTTCACTCGGTGGCCACGGTTGCGATAATAAGGAAGAAAAAAAAAACATTCTCCAAGCTTTTCTAAACACTAAAAGGGCAAGTAACATGAGTCGCTGATGGGCTTTGATGGAGTAATTTGTTCAT